GGCCTATTCGGCCACATGCGCATCCACGACGACCTGCGGTAGACAACCGCCGGTTACACCACACATCCACACACTCCCTACCCTCCTCCACCATCACCAACACACATCAACACTTACCCACCGCATGCACCAACTGCCACCTCCCACGCAAGTGGGAAGTGTGCATCTCGTTTCGGTTCCCACGCGGCTTCGGCTGTACGGGTGATTTGAATCCGAGACTATCCCGACACTTCAAGTGTCGTGGATAGGAAGGTTGCTGATTGATGCCCGCTCTCGGTTCACGCAGTTCGTCGCGTTGTGTGTGTGTGCTGTGTGGAGTGGCGGACTGGTGGGCTGGGAACGGGCTGAAGCAGCCCCTTCCACGGCCCTCTCACGCAAGTGAGAGACACGCCGTTCAACCTCCGTTGTGTGAAATCCTGGTGTTTGTGTGTGTATGGGGGGCCAGGTCGTGCTGTGGCGCGCGCAGTCACGGTCAGTCAACCGTGGCAGCCACCGCGCCCATCCACCACTCCAGTTTGCCGACCGGCTCGGACGGCGGCTGGAGTGTGGGAATGGGAAGGGAGAGTGAGGTCGACGACTCAGCGCACTTTTTCCTCACTATAATCAATCTGACGCGCTTGAAGCTATCACGGTGCGCTAAAAGCCGTGGCTTGGAAGGTTGCTAACTGACGGGGTACCTTGGACCTCCTCCTTAACGGGAGGCGGTCTGAGAGTCAGACTGCAATGGCTCCTTTTTAATGTGGCCTTTATGGCACTCCCACCACAGTGTGGGATCCGAGCCAGCTGTTGGCGGCACGCCTAGGTGCGGCTTCGGCCGTGCCAGCCTCCAAATCTCTGTTGTGTTGGTTGAAATCCTGGTTATTGTTGTGTGGACCAGGGGGTGTGGTGGAACGCCAAGGTGAGGATCCGTCCGAGCCATCCACCTGCGGCCTCCCTCGTCTCCGGTCTTCTTGACTCTGTCTTGACACCGGGCTCGGGCGAGGGAGGTGGAGAGAGTGTAGGTAGATGCAGCGCAAGTCTACTGGCACTATAAACCCCTGCGCAAGTCACCGTCCCTGCTCCAACCTGCTGTGGGGCACACGGTGGACATCATCGAAATCGATGGTCGAACTGTCAATGTCAGACATATTTTACCGTTTGACTACAATTGGCTATACCGCAGCCACCATGTGAGATCATGTAGGCGACTTCCTTCGTATCCAACTAGCCAAAGTGCGTCTTTGGGTGCATAAACTGAGTGCTTTATACCGTCGCCGGTTTGTCCGTTACTGAAAATTTCTGCTTGCTCAGTTGCTTTTAGAGAATTCGGACGCATTTTTAATGTAAGGATTGGTTCTCCAAGTGCGCCTGATTGGAACTACATGACTTCTTTTTGCCTCTTGCTGTACCAGGCATAGGCGTATAAAGGCTTTACGGTGTTCATTCTAAAAAAGGATCAATAGAGCAATTCAATTCACTTTGGTAGCCTTCATTGGCAGAAGAAATATGCCTTTACTTGATTAAGCAGACTGACGGCCGCACTCCGTCTGACAGATAGCTCAGTTACTCTAATAAGATAGAAGGCCTTTTAACTTCTTTGATTTGAGGTAAACCGATATGCGTAATCCTTAAATCTTCCGCTATACGAGAACATCTAAAAATGGAAGACTTGCGCCAACTTCCTCTTCGATTAAGACCCTACCTCTCAGAAGTGGCATTGCTCAGTGTTTATAGTTGATCATTTATACTGACAGAAATGTGGAGCTGCAATCTACGGTTAACTGGCGGAAAAGCCGTCGTCCCTAGCTACCGCAACGTCAGTTCGGCCTGAGAGCCAGCGATAGATGACATCAAAGGAGATCCTTTAAGTTGTTCAAATTATTGTTGACCCGAAGAGTAGTTATTTTCCAAACACAGCAGTGACTCTCAGCTGAATTTGTGGATTTAACGAAACACGCGTAGGCCGAATTTTCAACAGCTTGTCACCAGAGATGGGTAACTACACCTTAAATGCAGTCCTGAAAAGACGTCCTGTATATTAATTTGTGAATTCAGGCCTCATAAAATACTTTTGAAATAATTTCGAGTCCCGGCTAATTTCTCATACTCTAAGTGGATCATCCTGTGTTTCGTAACCATGGTCGTTTACCCAAACATTAATAATTGAGGTGGTCATGATTATAGCAATAGTAATCTCATAACTATCAATAATAACGTCTGCAGCAGTAATAGGAATAATGGCATTAGTGACGTTCATTATTTGGATTTTGAATGCTGATTTACTAGATTCACTGGATATTCCATTATTACTCGAGTATCACTTCTGTCACAACATTGTCATAACTTTTAATTGTCCTTATTTTATAAACGTAACACTTACTTTCTGAATTATAACCCAACTTTATCATGTCAAATCCCATTTTTATGACTTGCCTGTTTAAAATATGAAAATACCCACCTTGCTTCGATGCCCGGGATTTTACTAGATTAAATTGAAAGCCAAAATAATTCGTGGGCAGGACACAATAAATATGAAATTATTTTGAGGGTAGAAGGAACAACTGGCTCTGACGAGAGAAGAACACAGGTTTTATGGATCAGTGGAGGCTCTCCTCAGGCGCGATAATCCGAGGAAGAAGAGGAAGTTACCAGGACAAACTTATTATCCGGATGAAGGTTCTGGCAACTTGGTCTGCTGTACGCCAACAGAGGTTGGTTTCAAACGCCGACTAAGGTAATCTGTGAATTGACCCCCCCCCTCCGGCATGCCGGGTTCTGGGTCACTATCTCCACCGAAGTAGGGCTGGGAGGACCGTTGTAGGCTTTACAAGAAAAATCAGGGAGGTCAACCAAAAACAACCCGAGGGCCAGATAGTTGGGCGGGAAGCCAACGAACCGTCGGACAGAGCGGTCAGTCCAAAAGATCAACCGCCCTCCTTTTACGTGTTGACGGACCCAATTAGAAGTCTACAGCGCTACCGCACCAGTCAGTTAGCAACGAGAAACGAAGCCAGCAAAGGCACAAAGGGTGAGGTGTATGAATTGAGGTGACCACGTAAAACTACATTTTGCCCTCTCGAACGCACATGATATCAGACTAGGTAACAAATGGGGGTCGTGGACTTACAAGGGGTGTAGTATTTGTAAGATTCGGTTAGCACGCAACCACATTCCTCCTATATAATAAATAGCTTACACAATTATCGCCGATGGTCGCACTTGGTGTGACATTTGTTTCGCGCTATTTCAGTCTTTAATTGGTGCGCTTTCGTCTCACATTTTCGTTCGTGGCGGCAATCAACAATTTAGACGCGAATAAGCATGTCAAGATATCAATTACGATCATGGATGGTAAATGCGGGAACTGTTCATTATGAGAGACCTCGGTGGAATAGCAGCTACTTCTTAAGAATGCTTCTCTCATGTCACCTTATCTGCGACTGTCTCTGACGCCGGTCTTAAACGGGAATCCAAGACGTCAGGCGAATAAATTGTGGTCTAAGCGACCGTATCTTCTTCTTCTTCTCAACTAATTGAGGTTTATTTTTTTCCCTGGTATTGTCACTTCGGTCTTTTTACATCATATCTTTTGACGATCACCAGTAGACCCAACTGTTAAGAAAGCAACAAACTTGGTCCAGCCAATCCTTCTCACGTCTCAGAGGCTCCTCGTTTAGTATGCACTCGCTCACTCTTTAGCCTCACCAGCAGTAAGTTATCTAGAACAAAACTGTTATATGTATATACAAGCGTTAATTTGCACGTCCGTTAGGGAAACAAGCAGCGGTTGAAGACATTGGAGCAAAAAAGGGCTTGGCGGTTGGGGGGGGGGTAAAAGAAGTTGCTGACATATCATGCAAAAATCATCGCTAAGATCTCATCTCTGTCGATTTGGTTGACTATATCACATGTGCAAGGGAGCCTAAGTGGACTCGGCAAGGATGGGAAGCTGAAAACAGGTTGGGATCAAATTTGTAGGGTTTCGAAAGGGCCTATTTGGCCAGACGTGAGCAAACTCCATACATACTGAGACCATGTACATATATACACATATATGTACGGGCCCATGTGTCTGTGCACATGCATGAGTTTATTACATCGGTTAGGCGGGAAATGCTTTCAACGAACGCCTCAGGATGTGAGCAGGGATATAAGAGCTTGGCTGGACGCCTATCAGTTCGCGCTGGGGGATAAACTACTTCTCTATACAGGATCTGAGTATTTCTCATGTTAGCGTTGTAATGTGTGCGTTGATGAGCTGCACGCGGTCTGCGGCCTTTTGTATCTTCAAAGTTGGGCCTTTGCCTGACCACTTTACAATGCATTCTGTGCCCGTCTACACGTCTCCGCAGGCCTCTTCTCAAAGGGTGGTCCGTTGGGAGGGTGAGACATTTGAGAGACGGCGTACAGTGGGTGTGAAGTCGTTGGCCTTTGTCCAGTGAAATTGCTTCGCAGTTCCGATTTCTTTCCTTGTCGCTTCGCCTGGTGATGGCCTAGTTATGGCTGCTGTTGCCGTTGCCGTCGGCATTTCTCCGACCAGAGGTGCGACTGACGGCTCTTCGGAGTTTGGTCTGGGACCGTTCTCGGTTGCCTTCTTCTGTGTCGGTGAAGATGGCGCTGAAGCGGGTACGACCCCATCGATGTCACCGTCGTCCCCGAGACCGTCACCGTAGGTCAATGCAAACACAGGTCGGGAGTTAGGCTGACTGACTGAGGAAATGTCCTCGGTCGTCCCTACATCACTTTCGGGACTATGCTGCAGAGGCATGCCGAACTCGTAGGTGAAACAGGGTGCGCTCGGCGCAGTCAGGAGTCGGGCGCCCGCCCTACCGTCGACAGCACTGTCGGCGGCGGCGGCGGCAGCGGCGACGTCCTCCGAGGGAATAAACTGGAAGTCACTGGCTTCTATGGCGATGCAGATACTAGTGCGGCCACCTTTGCCGCAGACGGGACTGCTGTCTGTCTGTGCGTGCTGGGAAAGCAGGGTATTCCGGCTAGAGAGGGTTTGGCGCCGTGGACGTTTGAGAGTACTACTGCTGGAACCGCGCTGACCGCTGGAGCAGCGCCTGCCCAGACTGGATTTCCGAGAAAGTCCGAACTGGTGCGCGAAACTTTCCGTGCGGATGCGATCGTTGATACTGCCACACTGACAACGTAGAATGTAAATGAAGGGGATTCGGAAGTCCCGATTGAATTGTGCATAGATAATGGGGTTGAGAAAGCTGTTCATATAGCCTGAAATTGGAAAAATGATAGATATGAAGATACTCAGAAAGTATTCTAGCGTGGAGGGATTTGCGGCTTTCGCTGGAGTATGTAAATAGGTAGGAGTTTTGATCCTCAGAAAGAGAAATGCCTTCAGAGCATTGCGTAAGCATTATAGCCAGAAAGAGAGCGCAAGAAGCGCAGTCGCTTAAGCTCTCTAGAAAAATCGCATCACAGCGAAGGTAGAGAGAACTGGTAGGTTTGTGGTTGCCACTGACTCCCGCCAATATTCGGGCGACCCCGATGGAATCATTTCGTAGGTATTTTTGACCAATTTGATAGTTTATTTGATCCAGTTGTGAAAACGCCTATGTCGTAGGCCTAGTACTCATCTGGTCGATTCTGAGTTGATTGCTTGGGACACCTCTTCTGATCAGTCAGCTTAATGTGTCAGAATTAGTGGATTTTATAAGTTGCAATAGGCTGACCAAGTAACCTGACCCAAATTATACAAACCTCATGGCCGCCGATGGACCCTTGTAGCTCAAACAGCTAGACCGTTGGCCATATGGAACTCTTGCCACTGTTGTTGTGGGTTTGAATACTACCGAGATAGCCGAGTTTTTTTATAACTGGGTCAAAGGTATTGATCACTTCAACTCGAACTTTCATCATTGCACTTAGATTATAAGAATAATAGGAACATTCCCATACGCCGAAGGACTCATCTTTGAGGTATGAATGCTACCCGCCAAATATTTATGCGCGGAATCTATGGCTTCTGTCTTAAAACACTGCCGTCCTGGGGGAGGGGGGAGGCCAGTTTATGCAACTCGAACCCCTCAGCTGAAAAACGGAACAGTCTTAGATCCAGAAATGTCCAAATGCAGTAAACCGTTGGTTGCAAGCCCAACCAACACGACTATGGGTTAACGGCTCAATGGCAGAACTTTAAACTCAGTGGCTAATAATCTCGGTTTCAATCCCAGACTCCAAAACCCAATATTGGGTATGGCCAGTTGAGAACGACTAATAACCAGGAACGGCAATTCCGTTTTTCATTGTCTTTGGCGGCCATCTCCTTCTATATACAGTGAGTGACCTATCTCATGAAATGTTGGCTGAAATTCTGAAATGCGTTTACGATTAGGAAGGATTACTTGGTCGCGGTTTTAATACTGACTATCTTGCGGCAAACTCTTGTAATATTTCGGACTCGGCAGGATGTCGGCTTTTAAATGCACTTCTTTTAAATCTCCTGTAGAAAGCGTGCTTGGTAAACAATGATTACTTAAGTAGCATGCACTTTTCCCATTGATTTTCGATGGTCTTGCAAATTTAAATATATTTTATAGAAACCACAAATAAAAATATGCTTTCTTTTAGTCAATCAATAGAGAATCACGTCTTCTTTATATATTATACCTAGGGAAGGAGATAATTAGGGTTTAAAAAAGTTTCTAATTATGTGACTTTTTAAGACCGCGAACTGTCAATTCGCATAGCATCGTACCTGGTCGTTTACCACTGCTCCTCGTGAAATGTAAAACATGGTCCGCATCCATTGCAAAATTTTATGGACTCTGTATGATATATCTTTAATGGCATAGAAAAGTATGTGAATTTCTTTACGCGGAACGCATGCACCTTGCAGACTGAAATTACTCAGCGCTAATGCAACGAATGATCAGGCTCCAAATTATTCGGAAATTGAAACAATTTCTTAAAACCTAATTATAATTATTTCTTAAAAACAAAATATTAAGAAGACGTGATTCTCTATTGATTGACTAAAAGAAAGGATGTTTTTATTGGTGGTTTCTATAAAATATATTTCAATTTGCAAGACCATCGAGAATCAATGGGAAAAGTGCATGCTACTTAAGTAATCATTTTTTAACGAGTACGCTTTCTACAGGCGATTTAATAGAAGTGCATTTAAAAGCCGACATCCTGCCGAGTCCGAAATGTTATAAGAGTATGCCGCAAGATAGTCAGTATTACAACCGTGACCAAATAATCCTTCCTAATCGAAAACGCATTTCAGAATTTCAGCCAACATTTCATGAGATAGGTCACTCACTGTATATATATATATATATATATATATATATATATATATTATGACAGATGGGCATTCACCGACCAGGTTACGGAACACACTCGTTCCGTTGTGCCTTGCAACTCATACTAAAACCCTCACAGGCTGTTGCACGGCGACTGGTAGTAGAAGTAGATGGGATGATACCGACTAAGACAAAGGAGACCGAAATGGCCATTTCTGGCTTATTGGCCGTTATCAGCCAGTCAGACCAAACCCCAAGTGTGAATCACTTGACATTCGAACCCGGGATCTTTGTTCGTGGAGTCTGCCAATCTACCATTGAGCCAAGGGCCCGTTGTCCTGTCGGTCGTGATCGGAAATATCAGTTATGACAGATGGGCGCACACCAATCGGGTTACGGCACGTGCTCGTTCCGTTGTGTCTTGGGATTCATACTAGAACCTTTGCAGGCTTTCGCACAGGAACTTGTAGTGAACGGAATGAGATAGTGCCGGGTTAGAATGTCAAGTGATCCACACTTAAGGTCGGGTAGGACTGATGGACATTTCGGTCTACTATGTCCTTGTTGGGATACGCTTCAGCTCAATCCTGACATCAAGAGACGGCTGCGACAGCGTCTGCTTCGGCGGGATTCCATCGCATAAATTACAACAGGCGCCATCTGAAAGAAAAAAATTGGGGATCGTGTCGATCGATTTCAATTAGGATTAAACTCCAGTCTTTAACAGCACGTTTGAGGACCTGTCTCCACGTTATGATCCGTCTCCACGAAGCCTTAGACTACTTCTCGCTCACTACAAGTGGTCACTTTAACGGCCTTCTTTCTGAAGTTGAGTTTGGGTTGGCTGAAGCCTGTAATCAGAATAGATACGTGCACTCTAGAGTCAAATGATCGCCTGCTACCGAACTTAGGCATACGACCAGACAGAGTGACCTTTGCTCGAGAGTCAAGTCAGTCTGAGCTTGAGGTAGGACTGGCTGCCGAGTACGAACAGGTCAGAACAGGTCGCCGGTTATTTAACCAAACATTCTGGACTATGTGGCCACCTTCTCTGGTTGTGGGCTGAAGTGCCAAGATAAAACGGATCGCCCTGGTCTCTCCTATAACCAGCATAGATTAGAAAATGCCACCTGCGTGAGACTGCTTGGCTCTAGCTCACGTTGTAAAAATGGCTGCTCCACTCATTTGACCAACATCCACTTGCGCAATCTACAATTTTGGCTCCCAGAATGAACGGCAGCGTAGTTTTTGCTCTGGATCGAAAGTGTACACTGTGAATGTGGTGCCTACTGGTCTGACGCGTAGTTCGCCTTGACAGAGGAACGAACAAGCTATGGGTCAATTTCCACCTGTGGTGTTGCGGACTTTTATATTATGTTTAATGCTTAAAAACAACTGTTTAGAGAGGATGAACGCAAAAAGTGTTTGAACACTTCCGCAATCAATATAGGTTTTCTCTCCCATAAAAAGCATAAACAGCACAGCAGGGCTAATTACCTCATCTCACCCACATTCCTGATTGGCTGGCCAAAAAATCCAATTAGTCTTATTACCCGTAACGTAACTGGACAAAGTCAGTAGTCGTCGCTAGCAAGAATCGATTTCCTGCTCCATTGGTACAGCCGTCAGTGGTATGAGAAAATAGTAAGATGCCGAACGGCGGGAAGCCTCTGCCTTTTCCCAGATTGCGTGCAACGATGCGGAGGGTTTTTTGGTGCGCAAGCAGGCGCCGATGTGGGACCTTTCACGCACTATGACCTAACGCACTGGGATCGGACTGGCAGGGCTTCCGACCATATTACCCTTTTGTTCTTCACGGCCCTCTCCAACTTCTTGCTTTTCTCTTTCTTCTTCATCATCATCATCTACGGTTGCCACCGCCGCCGCCGCCACCGACGCCGTTGCCGCTGCAATGACAACGCACAAACACACACGCCAACTGACGCCCTGATTTGGCGCAGTTCAGACTGCTGTCCCGTGGTCGCGCGCCATGGGGTGCACGGATTTCGCGATGGCAATCTCGCCCTCTGCTCCACCTCCTCCTCCACAGCCCGTCTGTCTCACACACACACTCCCCCCTGGTGCCCTCTTCCAACGGCTTCGACAGTATCGCACCCGCATGAAACAGCTGCTGACGCAGTCGCAACCGCCAGTTACGTGACGTGCATTCCTCGGCGGCTTACGCGTGGATGTCGCTCCGCCCCATTACCCGATGCTTTACCTAACAGGCATTTGTACACGTTTTCACACCTTCTGCCTGCCGAGCGCTTCAGTCTATGCAGACGCGTATTCCTGTGGGCGGCACGGGTGCAGCGCGTTCGACCGGAAATGCCCGTTTTGGTTCTGTTCGGTTCGCCTGTGTCTGAATTTGGTCTCTAGAATGGGAAGTACAGGAGTAGCACAGTACTGTCGTCGGGTGCCTCGTTTAGTCGAACATGCACGCGCATGACATTGGCAAAGAGAGTGTGAAATGCTAGCTCTGTCAGTGAAGCTAAGCCCACCTGCCGTAACCTAAGTGCCTCATACTATGGACCACGAGGGAGTTGCGCTGGATGAATACAGACGCCAGATCGGAGTTCGGCACGCGTTATTTGGGCTACACACGCATAAAAATGCTCACACTCATTGGCGCATCTAGGAACAGGCTTATATTGTGCCAGTTGACTGTGCCCAATCTGCGTATCAGGTGGTCAACCGGCTCGGACAGTGGACTGATACCTCTGAGGATTCCGTCCCCACGGCGCACAGAGCAAAATATTCGTAATGAACAGTCTGACTAGTCGAAAAACTGCCAAAATGTGCCTAAATTTGTGGCTTTTAGGTCTGTCAACCGGCAGAATCACTCAGTCTTCCTCTCAGGCTGTAATGGCTCCTTCATAACATGAACTCTATGACATTCCCCTTCCGTTGGGATCCGAACCGTTTCCTTTTGTTGTTGGAAGACACCTGACCTATCGCG